ATCGCCCGGAGTTTTGATCGAATCGGCTCCTCCGCAGGCATGAATGACTGATAGGAAATCCGAAAACTTCGAAACAATCTCGAGAGAAGACGCGTGGCCAAACGAACAGGAAGATAAATGAAATTTCGTTGAAATTCTGAAAAAAAGAACTGCCGAGATAAACAGTTCCGAGACTTAAAGATTCGCTATCGTGTGCTGCTCGGTGACTCGCGATTATCTTGAAAATATCACGAGACAATTGTTGACGCAGAAAATAATTTAAAAACATTATTTATTCGCTTCATGAATTCGATATTATAACTTAACAAAATGTATTCGTTTCATAACTTATATATTTGTTGTATCATTAATTTAAACTGAACCAAGGCATAACAATTTAATTACAAAGAAAATAAGTAACGTTTCATATTTCTCTTATTATTTAATGATATCAAATTTAATTTGTCCAAATCAAATTACAGTTAATTAAATTGAGAAAAATTGGCCTAATAAGGCAAAGTACCATAAAATGAACGTTAGATGTTGATTTAACCTTTGAGTTCTTTTCAGAAACACTATAAATAATATAATAAAAAACGATAAATTTTCCTCGATTTTTTTCATAACTGATTACCGTTATCTCGATTAATTTCCACAAACGAAAGCAAAACTGGCCACGTTTATTTCGCGTTACAAAACGTTAACATAAGCCGAGGCAGAAAATTACGTTCAGAATAATACCCGTACAATCTTCGCGATCGTCTGTCTGATTTATCTCGTTTAAGCGTCAATTAGCGTTCACGTGAACTCGTACATAACTTACCCGTACTAGTAACTGTTATTAATAACCAAAGTTTATTTGTTCCTTCATCAAAAGTATCCATAAACGCTACATCCTAAACGGTCTCCAAAAAGTAGAAGAAACCGCAAAGTCCACTTCGATAAAATTCACCGTACAATCACTAATAATCAACAATAGAAATATAAGAACGATCCAAAGTCCGAGGCTGTCTATGAATTCGACGATACTGAATAATAATTATTTAGGAACGATCGGTAACAGGTTTTTGAAGAACGATTCACTATACGTGGGTGGGTTCCACTCTGTCAATTATATTTAGCGCTTCGCCATGTGATTCACCGTGATCGAACAGAACGGTTTCGCGAGCAGTGAAACGAGCTGAACGAACCGCACATCGGAAACAGGAGGCGCGTGTACATCGAGTTCTCGGTAGACTCTGCAATGATGCCTCGTTTGTCAGTGACTCACTAAATGCACGATATATGCACATACGTATGTCCGTGTAAGCCGTTGCCACTTGTGTAGAACGATACCGATACAAAGTGGACGAGATTCGAGCAAGTGTCTTGCCCGCATGCTGAACCGCGCCATTCATTAACGAGATTCCCCCTTTACAATTATTTTGACCGCGTCGTATTATCGGTACACGATGTTTGCCAGCCTCGTTGTTCAGACTTTTCGATCGATAAGCGATCACCCTCGATCGGTGGATCATTTTCTTTGTATCTATTGAGTCATTCTGTAAGTTCGGTGTCTTCGCTTGGGAATAGATGTAAAATTATATTTTCAATCTCTTTCTTAATTAAAAGTATTGGAATTTAATAGAAAATTTTAGCAAAAGTAATTTTACTATGCACTCGCTATCAAAATGGCAATATAAGAGAAGTAGGAATTCTCAAAATCTTAATCTGGACTATATTAATATTAAAAGTAATATAAAAACAAAATAACTCTGTTTATAAAATAGAGCATAGTATCTCTGTTAGTACATAACAGAGATGTATGAGTATAAAATAAATATCAATTCAAATTTTCCCGCGCAAATGTTCACACACACGTGATAGGGCGAGACTTCTATGTATAGCGGGTCCCCTTCGCAACATTGTCATTCTCCGCGAGGACGCCCATGCGGAAAAGTTAGAATCCGGAGAATACCATCTTTCCTGGAAACACTTAATTTAAAATTTAAATTAATTTTGTTACAATAAAATTTTAGAATTTATATGAATGGAAGAAACAATAGTTCGTGATTCTATTTTTAATTATTACCAATCTAAATAAAATTCCAAGCAATATCTTTCGAATATCTTATCCTTTATACAAATCGTTCTATTAGATATTATATCAATGATAAAAAAAAATCTATCGTCATTCAATTATCGCCTGTTTTTATCAGCGTTAATCATGATAATCGGCTCAAGTGAATTATAATTTTGGAAAGAGAGAAAACAAACAAGAGCGAAGATCAATTTGGTCGAGACTATTTAATAAATCCTCAAATTGAGATCTGATGCAGTATGCATGTCACGAACGTGTATGTAACAGAACGAGACATCGTATGACGGCGACATGTTCGATATCTGAGCACGTCATATCACGTATATACGGCAGTAGATACGTCATACAAGTGTCATCCACAGCGACCCAGCCATCAGATGACGCGATGCTGACGATATTACTGTAACTCGTGTATCTAGGAAATTTTTCATGAATTAATTCACCGTTCCTCATACGCTAATTCGTGCACGAGTTGCATAAACGAGCGCGCAATTGGGCTAACTTCTCAAATGCTCTACTTTCAAGGATGAAGTATATACTGGGTGTCCGCGATAACTTCTGACAGTATTGTTTATTTATTTCAGTATGTACTGAAGATGTAGGAAAATTATTTATGTGAAAAATTGTTCTTTTTACAATATTATGTTAAGAGCAGAGTTGAGCATTATTTAAAATAATCTTTTTACAGAAATTTCGGCTAAACAGAAGATATTGAAGAATAAGAAATAAATTACTTATTTGAATAAATTTTGATCTCCAATCAAATACAACAATTAAAAATACAATCAGTTATTTGAAAATAACAGAAAAAATCAAATTTTATTTGAAATAAAAATGTCTTTAAATTGAAAATTATTTGCTATTTTTGAATAATTTAATTTAATTTGAGATTTTTATTGAAAGATCTATCAATAAATTTTCATTCAAAGACACAATTGTTTCTGATTTTAAAATAATTTTATTCATTGAAGATACGTATCAGAAAATTGAAATAATACCTAACTCTGATTAAGAGATATGAAAGTCAAATTTAGTTTTCCTTTTTCGTCAGTGGGACTATTAGGCCGATGAGCGTTAAATTGAGGATTTTGAAATATAGAAAATCTGACGTAATTTTATGATATAAAAATATCTCACCTTAATAAAAAAAAAAAAAAAATATCTCGAGATTTAACAAGTTACAAATTTACATATACTCTCTGTATAAAGCGTGCAAATGGCATCATCGATGCTAATAAACAAGTAAACGTCATGAACTATTGCCTCATATCTCCTATTATTGGTGACCTAGTATCAGTGATGCTGCGCTTGAACAGTGCTACCTTAAAGATTTATTCCCAACGATACAGAATCTCAAATAATGGTACAACAATTATTGAAACTGTTAATTACACTAAGGGATCTGTCTCACCCCTGGCAAGTATGTAAGTAGATTCCAGGTGAAGAATGAAAACTGTAATGGGTATCTATCGAAAGTATACAGAACGTACACGTGTGTGAAACAAACATATGCATGCCTATCGTCCCCAAGCTGTTGCGGTGCCTCGAGGAGGTCCTGTCATAAAGCAGCTGTCACATCTCTTTCCGTCTGTACGCCTGAGGAAAGGCTGTCCGTGGGGTGCAGACAGCGCAACCATAATTGGTAATGTCTTTTAACCACACCAGTGAAATGAAATTCGTATAATTATAACAAGTGCCATCTCGCCTTTCGAAATTGGAAACCCTTCGTAAATTAATTAATTTTGTATAATTTGTTAAAATTTTCTTTATTATTTAATATAGAGAGTAACATTAAAATAGATGATTAAATTTTAGTGGACATATTTTAGCTTTTCTGAAAATAGAAAAAAGGATAATATGTATTAAATAATATTAAATGTGATGTAATATATTTTCGAACTTCAAAAATAATTCAACCAATATCGGTTTAAGATTTCTCAGGCCTAAAGCTATCAAATCTTGGAGGGACCCTTGGTTGAAATTTATTCTTTATAAAATTAAATAAAATTTAATCGTTAAGAAAAATGACGACAGTAAAAAGAATTTCATTGAATATTTTTTTATATAAGAGAAGGAAAAGAAAGGTTTAGAAAAGGAGGCCCCCTGGAAAGTGGAGCTGTGGTCCCCATCAACCTCCCCTTGATCCAGCACTGAATTCAACATGATTCTACAGTTATAACACGAGGTGTAGATAGTACAAAATAAACAGAAATATGGGACACATTGTTACGACCATCTGCTACTAAATAATCTAGGGAACAGGGTGATTACTAGCCAAAGTTTACAGGATTTGTCAGTCGATAACCGCGTCTGTTAATGATGTCGTGGTCATAAACCAAAAGAATTCCAATTGATTTCCACGTAAACGAACCGTTCGCATCATGAACAACAAGGAAAATACGCGAACGACAAATATCTGTTTGATTTCGTGCGATTTATCATCGGTTAACTGCACGTGGCGACACTAATGCGGCATCCAATTACAAACGTTTGCCAAACAATATAATTGATTGCCTATCCTTTGATAACAAATCCGTTTTGAATTTCCCGATGAAAATCATAATTTTCGATCGCTCGAACCTCCTGGTAAACGAGAAACTGGACGATCATCGTCATTAGGCTGAGGTCGCTGCCTCCCCAGAGTGCAAATTTCACTGAAACGTTTAATGATAATTAGCTTTCAAAATAATAGATCATTTAATATTTCTAATTTTATTATTTCTTAATAGAAAAAATTGAAACGTACGATTTACTTATTTTTCACACTTGTATCGCCAAAATATTACAAATAATATCACATCATAGTCTTCGATATTAAATATTTTTAACAGAGACGAATGAAACGTTAGACAATTGAATTTTTCAATTCTCTGGAGATCGGTTGAAAAGAAACTTCATAAGCAATCATACATTCAATGCGATGTTTCACTTCTGATTGCAGCGCGATGCGGGTGCTCCTCTCGAAACTTCCGAGACCATGGATAGTGGACGAGAAAAAGGACGATGGTTACACGGCCCTTCATCTAGCTGCCCTAAACAATCACGTGGAAGTTGCTGAGCAGCTGGCACGTGCTGGAAAAGCTGACCTGGATTTGCAAAACGTCAATTTGCAGACCGCGCTGCACCTTGCAGTCGAGCGACAACACACACAAATCGTTCGCGTACGTTTATTTCGACGGGAAAGGAGTTCACCTCTGACTCAACCTTCCACAAACGATCCACTGAACATTTTCGATGTTCCAGTTTATTTTGAAAACCCCTTTCAAATATCAAACCTCTTTTTATAAAGAATCGTGGTGTCCTCTATAAGAATCTACAGTATTTTTTTTATTTTATTTAGCATCTCAATTTCATTTGCTATAATGTTTCAAAATATAAAAAATAAAAATTTGAATTATTTCATTTTAATAATTCAGAATTGGAAATGATTCATAGAATTATTCACACGGTTGGAATAAAATTAGCATGCGATTACTTATTCCCAGGAAGACGTTATTACAACTAATTAATTTTCTAATGATGTAATCGTAAATCCTGTTACAGCTGCTGGTACGGGAAGGCGCCAACTTGAATGTAGCGGACAAGGACGGCGACACGCCTCTTCACGAAGCCTTGAGATATCACACTCTATCGCAGCTGCGACAGCTGCAGGATGTTCAGGACGTAGGACGCCTCCTGATGGGCCTGGGCGCGCAAGGACAGGACAAGAAGAGCAGTTCATTCATTGCCTGCTTCCTGGCTGCCCACGGGGCTGACCTGGAATTGAAGAACAAGAAGGGACAGACTCCCCTCGACCTCTGCCCGGATCCAAATCTCTGCAAAACATTAACTACTTGTCACAAGGACAGAGAATCGTTAGTAATCGTCATTTGCATAGAATACAATTTTCGGCCATCAAAATCCTCGAAATTATAAATTGATAATTATTCCTATTCTATATCTTAAAAGACAACAATGATTTTGATTTGTATAAACATAAAGGAAACGAAGTAATTTACGTCCATTCAAACGGGAATGCAACTGTTTGGCGCATAGCTTTCTATAATTACGCTGGTTCAGCATGCATAGTCAAAGGAAATAAGATTATATCTTACTGAAGCGTGCGAGTTACCGGAGATATTTACATGTCTGTAGCCAGATTAATCTCGAGATTTTCGATGCACGAATTTAGCTTCACGACGTGTAACTTCTCGTATCTGTAGTTGATAATATACTGCGATAGACTGTAATCAAATATTTCCGGTATGCGTAGTTCGTAGATTTCATTTTCCAAATTTTCCATGAGGGAATTGAAACAGTCTCCTTCGATTATTTTTCTTTTTAACATTCTGTATTCCTTCTCTCATACCTCAATAGTGTTTCTATTATTATTTATACCAAAGGATTAGCTTTACTTCTACAGATAAATAAATAAATTCTCACTGTGCTTTCAGACACGATATTGAAACAGCAGCTCCATCAGGTACAATCGACGAATGTTTAGTCTGTTCGGATGGAAAACGTGAAATGCTTTTCACCCCCTGTGGACACGTAGCTTGCTGTAATGCTTGCGCACCAAGGGTGAAGAAATGCCTGATCTGCAGGGACAATGTCCTAACAAGAACAAAGGTAGAATAATACTACTTATTCATATATCAGATATCTTTTATTAAAAATATGATTATTTAATTCTTCAAGTTAAGTTACTAATTTGATACTTAACATTATTCAAAATTATTCTTTTTCTTTTTTAGTTATTTGAGTATATTGAAATTGTGGTTTGTAATTGATTAAAATTATTTATTTTCAGATCGAAGAATGCGTTGTTTGCTCCGACCGTAAAGCTAGTATGTTGTTCCGTCCATGTGGGCACATGTGTGCCTGCGAAAGCTGCGCAACCCTTATGAAGAAATGTGTCCAATGTAGGTCTCAAATTCAGCACATGCTACCATTATCAATGTGTTGTGGCGGAGGAGGCAATGTCACTTATGTGAAGGGTATCAATGCTTCAGGTACTAAGTCCATTAACCGTGAAACGAGAATGGCTGGGTCAATAGTGACCCAAAGCTACGAAGAGAAACAGACTGCTTAAATATACCAGATCTTTTAATAACGGGCTTAGGAGTTTCATAGTTTATCCCATTTTTATAGAATACCCTGTGTTTATCTATTAACCCTTGAACAGCGGAGTCGGGGTCAATCGTGACCCAAACTTACAAAACGTATCAAGGATATTGACCTATGGTTAAATGTATAATTTTTAAATAAAACAATTCTATGTATTCGAACCGTAAAATTTAGAAAATGAAAATAATATGAGACACGTAATTGAATTAAAATTGCGGCTCTCTCCATGGTCCGTCGTCCGAGGGTTAACTTGTACTAATTTTTCAATTTTTATGATATGGAATTCAAATCATTATTATTTATGGAAGTGATCTCTTGTATAAAAAGGTTCGATATCAGACGTGAAGAATGATGCAGAAGAAGAAACGATCCCACAGAATACCGGAAGCGGAGAAGCTATTCTGATGAACAACGGTAGCCGAGATACATCTCATAGCGATATACAGAAACTTCAGCAGCAACTTCAAGACATCAAGGAACAGGTATGTGTTAAAATTTGTTATCTAAGTAGATATTCTTCTTTCAATTTTAAAAATTTATTAACAAGAACTATAAGCTTAATGAAGTTTCAACGTTTAAGATTAATTTAACGTTAATACTGACAACCTCCAATTATGATTTTAAATTGTAATTTATCCTCAAATTGTGGTTTTCAATTATAAGTTATTTTCAAATTATGTTAAGTAACTTCTAATTAGTTTGCGCGGATTTAATATTTTATTTATTGATATTAACGAAATTAATAGAGCAGCTGATAAATCCGTTTAAATAAATAAATTTAAACGGTTGATTTTTATTGGTAGACCATGTGTCCAGTTTGTCTGGATCGTTTGAAGAACATGATATTCCTGTGCGGCCACGGAACCTGTCAAATGTGCGGAGACCGGATGTCAGAGTGTCCGATATGTCGAAAAGCGGTAGACAAGCGAATTTTGCTCTATTAAATCTAGATAACTGAGGCCGTTAAGAGCCAGAGTTTTATGTTAGGAAAAAGTATAATAGCAAAGGAATAATTAAATATTGCTTTGATTCGGTGACTGAAATGTTCACGATGATCATCCAAAGTACCAAATTCTATAACCCAATTAGTGTTTTTTTTTTTTAAACAAGCTGCCATCTCGATGATCCTGCGATTTATAATATGAATTTTGAAAAACAAAGAATAAAAATCATGTAATATTTATTTATTCCTTTCCCGAAGAAAGTAGGTTGCTAAACAAAAATTTCGTTCTTCAACGAATATCACAACTTAAGTTCACAATTTGCAGCGTAACTGTAAGTTGATTATACAAAATAGATTATTATTTTGCAAGGTAGAGAATTAATGAAACTGATTTTCAATGTAGTAAAGTCCTAAACGAGTCGATTACGTACTTTAGTAATAATCTATTCTTTTTCTTTCTTCCGTTTTGTTCGATTTAATTTAACAACAAATGCATCATTGTCTTCTAGTAATAATTATTACTGATCGCCAGATATACTGATTAACATTTCCAGGCAATCATAATATTTTCATTTCTCTATTTTTCTTTTCCGGTACACTATTTGTACGCACAACAATCTTTTAGGTCCATTTATACATATTCGTATTGTATTAGGTTGGCATAGTGATGGATCTAAGTACTATGGTAAAGGTAAAAAAAAAAAATGCAATTTAATTTGAAATATCAATCGAAACATTCTATTATTATCTACAATAAAGTATTAAAGTACTGGGATCGAAAATTAATGAATTCAAAAGATATCTTAGGGAGAGACCACTAGGCTCTCCCTGTCTCTCCCTAAGATAACTTTTGAATTCATTAATTTTCGACCTAAGTGCCATAATACTTTTTTATACAGAATAACAAGATGTAAAAAAAATAAAAGAAAACGGAATTGACCTTGAAATCTTTGGAATACCTCCGCTTCCGGAACTGAAATATGGATGTTCCATTCGACGCCACTTAATTTTATCTAATGAAATTAGATATTTTTTTTTTATATATATATTTGTCTACCATTTTCTGTGTAAAAGGAGTTTGATCCAGTTGCATAGAACACTGTATGAGGGTAATAATTAGGTACACAGCACGATTATGTATAAATGGATCTTTGAATCTGTATCAAATATAATTTCTCATCATATCCTACCAACGAACCTTTTTGTAAAACTTGCTTTCGTCAATCAGAGATGATAAACTGCAGGATAAGAAAATTGTTATTTCTCCAGATAATGAATTCTCATTAAATTGAAACAACTCGTTCGAAACTATTGATACCATTCTATTTTATACTTCCTTTTCTACAATTCCAATTTTGATATGTTTATTATTTTTGTGATTTGTATTGTACTATAGCTTGTATTTTACAATGTATTCTGGTGAAACCTATAATTCCTTTTGTACAATAGTAGTTGAAGAAATATCAAGTTTTGAGATTTATGATTTTTCTTATCCCGCAAGTATTTTATTCGCACTTTTTGTAAATACTACTACATATTGGCATCACTATCACTATTCTTCAACTGTGTAAGCATAACTTTTCAACTTTCCCTATTTGAAATTCCATTAATTGTTACCTTTTTTAAAGTCTAAATACATATATTCATAATGACAATGAATAGTGCCAATTAGTTTTACAGATCACAGATCATTTTCAATCTTTCTCTGACAGAAGTAATTCGCAATTCATTCAATTTTAGGAAAGCAAAGTTATTAAAAGGTAATAAACATTTAATGAAAATCTAGTTTGCTAGTTTATGGAAGACTTAAGATCTGTTTTTCATGCATTTTATTGAACTAAAGTTAGTAGAATTATACAAATATATATATGTATTAATTATTCGCGGAAAAGTATAAAGAAGACTAATTGTACAGAATAAGTTATGAAACGCTTAGATTAAAAGATTTAATGAATTCTGCTTTCCGATCTATGATGTTTCTTTTTTTTTAAATCTCCGGAAGATGAAAATTATACAATATTGTTTGAATTGGTATAATAATAGTATATTGTTTATTTCAAGTATTGTATATTGATATACATAAGTATGAAAAAATGGAACTCGTTAAACCATTTAATTTTCCTCCTCATTTGTCATTATATGCAAGCAAAAACCGGATATGGCTTGTTTCGCTTGTATGGCACATCCAATATGGGTCTATATGGTGAGGATATTAATTTAGTAACCGTGTAAAATTAGCATTTAGTAATTTGTATATGCTATTTAATCCTTTTCCTGAAAAAGGATATTCATTTCTTTGAGCATTTTGTTGAACATCCTGTTCTGCCTATTACACCTTCCAATGATCGATACTAATCAATTATATCTACTAATCAATCTTTCTTTAATTTTAAATTTCATTTATGTTCGACCGTAGGTATATTATTTATGCACCGTACTACAGTTCGATAAAGATTCATCGATTCATCCCTAAATGTATAACATTTTTTTATATATTTTTATATAAAGCATAACAGATTCTTTAAATTTTTATTCTAATATAACAATGGCATTAAAATTAATAGTTCACATAGTTTTTCTCTATTTTAATTTGCAGTAATTTATAATAGAAAATAATTATATTTATGTACGTAAAAGATAGCAAAAAATTATAAACATAGATACCTATGATCTTGCATAAGAATTAATTGTTGTTTCTAATTTCTTTAGAATAACACCTAGCGCTTTAACCATTGCTCTTCCATTTACAACCCTTTTGATAGAAGTTTTTGCAAGCCAATTATCGTATTTAGAATAGGACTTCTATTAGCTACATTCAAATTAAGTAGATGAATAAATAAAGTGTATAAATCATCAAGATCTGATGTAAGGCTTGCATCTTAGATTTTTGCAAATGTAAGTTACATGTAATTGATTTCTTTAATGAGGTATAATGTAATAATATAGAAAACTAGGTATATTAATCAAATTAGAAAAAAATATACATATAAAGATTGAGTTAGAAGCTCCAGATAAATATTAAAGCACAAATAATTGAAATTTTATAACAACGGTTGCTCCAATATTTAATTATACCTATAATATAATAAATAGATCATAGCTGAGGAATTTTTTATATTATTAATTATTCACTAATTTGCAGCCTTTAAAATGATATATCTAATACAAAATATTAATTAAAGCAATGTATAGGTTTTAAACCATTCCTGTTTCATAGTATTTCTGTAAAATATTAAAAAATATTAATAAATGATATTTAACGAATAATGTAAATGCATCGATAACATTACAATGGGATGTAAAATTTAAGTATAATATTACTATGCAGTGTAATTAATTATTATTTTTATTCCAACACCTCTGCTTCCTTTCTGCCTTTCTGAAGTTCTTCAAAACTTCAGTTTTATTTTATGAGGAATCCCATTGTATTGTAGAATATCTTTTAAATAGAATTGTAATGCAATTTATTTGATTGTAGCAATTTGTATGTAGTATCAACCGATATTGTTTTATCACAGTTTTAATTAACTGTACCAATTGTATTCAATTAAGTTACAATAATAAACGCATTTGTTCAACCTTATAATAAGTAAAAGTCCTTAATGTATCCATCCTTGGATGAATTTAAAAAAGAACATTGTGAGTAAGTATAACTCTTATTTCAAATAAAATACAATATTACTAATTTCTTTATTTTTTAACTTTCTTATCTTTTTTAAGAAGAATATTGTATCCTATGCCAAAAGCACTTAGGGATCAAATACATCTATTGGATGTTCTAATGGGATATCACGTAATAAGACAGGTTTATGAAAAATTATTTATTTTTGATTAAGAACATCAGTTGCTTCATATATAGAAAGCCACATTTATGATAACTTAAATGTACAAAAATCTCGTTTTTTTACATAAAGTCCTCTTCAAACTTGACAAAGAAGTTACATTGCGTTAAACTTTCACTCGCTTACTCGAAGTTCACCATATCATTTACATACACTCCAAATTCATACCGAGTGATTATGTATTCTTCAAACCAAAGGCAAACCTGTGTCTTTGGTCGAGAAACCTCAGCTAGATCTAACGACACTGGTATAAAATTCTATTTCGCGCATTCATTTAATTCGTTTACGATATAATAACGGCACTTCGTAACTTAGACCGAATACAAGAGGGAATTATTCAGCTAATTTGCGTCAACAAGAGTGAAATTATGCAGGCAGGGTGTCTCGTGTAACTGGATCAAAAATATGCTATTTCATTAAAAAATTTTTATTAGAATTGTATACTTTTCCATACATCAATCGAAGCGTATTTTTATCTTCTATAAAAAAGTATAAGGCACTTGGGTCAAAAATTAAATAATTAAAAAGATATTCTAGGGAGAGACAGGGAGAGCCCAGCGGTCTCTCCCTGATATATCTTTTAAATTAATGAATTTTTGACCCAAGTGCCTTAATACTTTTTTATCAAGAATAAAAATACACTTCGATTAACATATAAAAAAGTATATAGTCTCATTTAAAAAAGTGAAATTGACCTTCAGATCTTTGAAACACGTCCAGTTCCGGTATCGACCAATGCATCAAGTGATGTTCCATTCGACGCCAATTTTTTCTCATGATTTTTTTTTCTATTTTTTACCGTTGTAGAATTATAACTCACTTACATAAGACACCCTGTGTAAAGGTGCTTAATAGAAGAAACAGAAATACTTGTTCAAAAGCAGTAAAAAACTTTCTCATCTTTGATAAACGATTACTAAATAATTTACTATAACAAGATATAGAGGAGAATGTGCGTAAGCATAATCAGAATGTATTATTATATTAAATATTTAATTACATTAATTTAATAACTTTCTAGATTTCATTTTGTATCGTTATTATTTAATCAAACACAGTGAGGCTGTTAGTAAGTCGTGTAATATATCTATTTTTCTTCTTTGTTTCGTGTTAATTTTTTTGTTCGATTTAAATGACTTTGGTAAATATTCTTTGCGACCCATTTCAAGTTGAAGTAAATTTATTATTGCACAACTATTACCAACAGTTTGTTCTGTAATAGCAATCCCAATATCGTAGGAACTATAATACTGGGGACTGTGCAAATATTTCTAAATAAAAGATATACAAGCTAAAAAAATTGTTTTAAAAAATTATTTTAATCGACAAACGACTATTTATGTTACACATTGTGCTTCGATATATAAATTAGTATAAACAATATTTTATAACATTTTTTATCATTCTAAATTCAAGTTCTTCTTCCTTTTTTTCTTTTTTTTAATGAAATCACCTAGATATTTGTGCTCTACACAATTTATTTAATAAATTAAAAACTGACATCATGGTTAATTATGGTACTGTTAAAAATTACGAGTATTCTAGTTGCATAATACAATACAAAACTGTTTTAAACAACGAAATTAAATATTAAACCACAATATGTGGCATAAAATATAATGAGGAAAAATTATTGTAATTGTTCCAAATTAATATAAATTAGAAAATTATGCTAAGTTATTACACATATATAACTATATCACTGTTACAAATACCTAATACCATTAATGTATTGATTTAAAATACAACAAATTAATTAAAACCAAAAACAATATATTCTACATCTACTGAATTATTTTTACGATTTCATTGGCGTACCTGCATTGATTTATAATTCAACAAATGAGTCGCAAAGAAAAACATTCTTATCTTTGACATTTAGACAATGAATTTAAATCGGGAGATTTTCTAACAAGGTTAGTTCTAAGTCTAAATTAGTTCAAGTAAATCGATCTAATAAATTCCACGAATTTTACCATTACACATGGTCGCCTTTGTTTGTTGGTCCTGTGTCTGAAAATAAAATAAAAAATCCAAATAATAGATAGTCCATAGAAATTACAAAATCCTGTGATACATTGAGATTTTTTTGTATCACAATATTTACCAACTTATATGGGACTCGTACCAAAACTACCGGGTGATCCTGGGGTCCCAGTCTTTTTATGAAGAAGAGAGTTGAAGAAGTTCGCTAAAACGCCTTCTCCAGATTGTGTAGTGCCAGTACCTTTCAGATCTAACTTTTTATTCGGCGATGCAACCTATATGAAAAACATTTAATATTCGCGAAATTTGATTGCCTATCATATCTATGACAGATCATACCACATAGATTAGACCATGCTTTTGATTGTTATCTATAAGAAGCACATAGCGATCTTATTCGATGATTTATTAAACGATCAGATTTAGGATACCACTGATGTAAAACATATTAAAAAATCATGTATGCAAATGTATTTTCTATCTATTCTAGTCTAATTCGGTACGCGTATCGACAGCGTCATACAATGATCAACATAAATCCTGAAGTGTATGGACACACAATATATGAACAGAATTATATTTTATAACTGCATAATTTGAAGCTACAAACTGAAATATAAATAATAAGCAATGCATGATTTTATTCGGATGAATTAATATCAACATGAAAACACATTGAATGGATTTAACAATATATACAACAGATTGATTATGAAATGTGAATACTATGTTTCAAGTAATTACATTCCATAATATAAAAAGCAACATTCGCTTAAAACATTAATCAACATCAAAATAAATTTTATGGAGGTATTAAAGACATCATGGTGGGGTAATTTTAATGTAACCAAGTATTAGTTACAAAGTGAAAATGTGGTCGCTGCACACATGATATTGATGTACGAATTAGCCACAGAAACGTTCACTATTACTCAATGCTGAATGATTATTAATTCATTGCACTCAACATGAGAAGCATGCTCCAATTATAAATGGTATAACCTGAATAACTGGTCCAGTGCTTGCCTGGTTCCTGGTTGTTGGAGAACGTGTCGGATCTTTCAATCCTAACAAAGCAGCTTGTTGCTTGGCTAAGAACACTTGTTCTTCCTCTGCCTGAACTTCTACCTCTTTAGCCACACACTGATTAACAAAAGTATATTAAAATAATACATAAAACTTACCTAACTTCCGTAACACATTCAGCCCTGATAATGTCATAAGACTTAAGCATGAAATTTAGCTAATCCGGATGACGTCTTAAGACATCACGTCCGAGAGGCTATGATCTAACAAGGTTATAAAATCGGTATTCAATCGTCAAAATAGCAGTTCAGGATATAAATGGGAAAATAAAAGACCTTAAATTTTGGTCCCATTTATACAAAGAAATGTTTCATGGAATATCAGCAAATAACCTTAAAACGTGTGCAGCTCTGAAAGCCGCGATATCAATTGATGTTGCTTCGGGCCAAATGTGTTAATTTATATTTGAAAAGATATAACTTGTATACTTTTCTGTTTATTGGTGGCTGTGCAATAACATCTCGATAATAATCGTCCGGTTTCATCGACTGTAAATTTTCATGTAGGATGCTAATCTTTTTCATATTATCCCAGCCAGCAGGACTGTAATTAAACAGATGGTGAGTACATAAAAAATTCATCAGTTTGTAACTTATGTGATTTACATACATTAGAACTGCATCTTTTTCAACGACTAAAGCAGGTGTTCTAAATGGTAATGAATAAATTCTATGTGTAAGATATTTATAAAGCAGATCACAATTTTTGTCTTCCTTAGCTGATGTATAGAACAATCCTGCGCCATATTGTAAACAAAATCGTCTTATCCACTGTTGCATAAAATCGAAATGTTCATCCCTATAAAAAAAGACAGTTGATGAATATCTAAACATACTAATCTGCTATTACTAATCAAATTCGTATCATGTTATACTCTTACTTATAGTCATGTTCTTTTTCAAGAGTAGACATATAATCAGTTTTTGTTATTACAACAACGATATCTAGACCTAAATTTGTTGTAAGCACTCCTTCCGGTAATGGCAAATTATCAATTGTTTCATCATCTAAGTTACGACTAGTACGTCTTAAGGGGCTACCAGGATCTAATTCATCTCCAGGTTCTGTATAATCCTGCCATTTTTTTATATCTGAATGTACCAAATATTAAAATATAATGGTTTCAAATTGATAATATATGATATTTAAAGACAAATATGTATTAAAAGGCTTACTAAGTTGTCTACATCGTTGCCTAGTGTCATTGTCTAAGGGTAACTTGTCAATATGATCTCCTAAAAGGGCAGCCCAGGACTGAAGCTGATCAAGGATAGCCCAAGGAGTGGTCATTGCAGCTACTAACATTACAAGAGTGTGTGGAAATCTTTCTGCATTTAAGGCAAATCTTAAAAGATTTGCATGACCAGGATCACCATCCAATACCCATACAGATAATCTTGTTTGATCTAAATAAAAAATTCAGTCAAATAACAATTATTATATTTTATGATTAAGAATAATAATTGAATATGTTATTACCATCTCTATAATCATCTCTCACATCAATATATGCAAACTCTAAACCAGAACCTTTTTTGGGATCTTCCACACCTTGCAACTTAGCAATAAGTGTTGTTTTTCCACTTTCATTATCTCCTGCAATATGTTAAAACGTATTATTAAGTGAACCAGGATAAACCCAAATAAAGAAGTTACACATTTATATAATCCAACATCCATACATTTTACAATTATATTGTTACAGAAGTTTGTACTATATGAGGAGAGCAACGGTTTCAATTTACCTAAGACAAGGATATTCTTGTTTGATGGTAACTTGTTGTTACCACTATTCTGCACTTCAGCCAAAATAGAGGACCTATGTAGAAAACCAAATAATGCAAGATTAAATATTATCCAAGTTATTTAAACGTTACAGGTTCTCTAATGTGTGATCTATGGCAAATGTATGCCAAAACATTCATATGCTATGGATAGTTTCTAAATACCTATGTATCCTATATTAAAATACTACATATTCTTTAAGCATACCATAAATTATCATTCTCTGCATCCTCTTTCTTTTTTGACTGAAAGCCATTACTCTGCAACATATTATCAATTGCCATCGTTGCCATTACTCATTTGACAGAAATGCTCTATCGATTCCGCACAATAGTCGTTGTGGCTTACAGTTAACTTCACTCGAAATGCATAGAACTTTTGAATGAAGTTTCCTTAGGTGGGTTTTAGGGAATTGGGACGATATTGTTGGTAATGGCAGTGATTACAGATTTAACAAGACTGGACACGCCTCTGTCACCGAGGCGTCGTGCTGATGAGCGTCAAAAACTTTACCGACAGTACCTAGAAAAATCCATAGAAACGAGAACACAAATTACATTGTCATTGCTAAACAGAATGCAAAAAAGTTTGAGGGACGTGTTCAGGAGGCCCTAAATAATGGCGCTTCGGGGTTCCTGACACCCCGGATGCCATAATGTCGATATGTAAAGAGAGTCAGCGGTGCTTCGGGATCTCCGAACCCCCAAGATGATATCAGGACAGTATGGAGAGTGTACCACCGATGCACCGGGGTCCCCAACACCCCAATACGATATCAGGTCGGTATGCAGAGAGTCCCGTCACAAAGGGGACCCTGACACCTGACGATGATATCAGGTCCGGTGTACAGAGGGTGTCATTAGGGCAATGACAACATGCAGTGGGTGACAACAGAAGACACAACAGCAGTACAAGACCGGGAAATGATTAAAATAACTACAAACTTGTATTTACTATATACACCTTGGTAAGTAAATCATTTAGAAAAAGCAACTGGCGACGATTTCTCCTGAATCTTTTCATCCCTCAGCCCCTTATATCTCAGTGTTACTTACATCCCTAGAGTCCTTACATCGATGTATCTCTTACATTCCTGCGTACCTTACATCCTTCCGTTCCTTACATCGCTGCTTCGTTTATATCTCTGAAGCCCTTATATCTCTGCATCCCTTTACATTCTACATCCTTCCGTTCCTTGCATCACTGCATCCTCTACATCCCTGCATGTCTTACACCTGTGCATCCCTTACATGTCTGCATCCTGTATATAACTGCATTCCTGCTGTCCCTACATTATGTCCTCTGACTACAAACAAAAGAACTAAACCTTGCAAAATTTTGGCCTCCTAGCGGCAAAAATGTCAACTAAATTTTCGACGCCGAATCAACGCCATCTGGTGGAGAAAAGGGGAACTAAGCCTTGCAACATTTTTGGCCCTCTAGCGGCAAAAATGTCAACTAAATTTTCGACGCCGAATCGGCGCCATCTGGTGGAGAAAAGGGGAACTAAACCTTGCAACATTTTTGTCCCTCTAGCGGCAAAAATTTCAACTAAGCTTTCAACGTCGAATCAGCGCCCTCTGGCGGCGAAATTGGAAACTTAATTGATCACAATCTTTCGATCTTTGGTGAGATATATACATAAAAGATGTAGGGCTGTGTGGGATACTAGAATATAAGTGATATAAGGATGTAATGGATCCAGAGATGCAAGGGCTTCAGAGATATAAAGGAAGCAGGGATGTAAGGGATGCAGAGATGTAAGGACTCTAAGGATGTGAGGAACACTGAGATATAAGGGGCTGAGGGATGAAATGATTCAGAAGAAATCGGTCGGTCAGTTGCTTTTTTAAAATGATTTATTTACTAAGGCGCATGAAGCGAATACAAGATTGTTTTACAATTATTTTAATAATGTTTCGGTCTTATACTAGTTTTAATTACTTTATAAAAAATAGAGTCAGGGGGGTGAAAATCGAGTCTTTTCAGTAGTCTGTGCGAGGGGCGGCAAAAGGGGGACTGGTAAAACAGGCACGATTGTCAACCGACTGTGTTGTGTTACATGCAGACCTAACTGTGCCTGGGGGTGTCAGGGACCCCACAATCATGACTCCTCGCGAACAGGACAAAGGCGTGTCCTGTAAGCAAACTTTAATAGCAAAGTTTATTAACTATTATAGTATTATGCGCAATAAAAAAAGCAATATAGAACCTACCTTATAAGATGTCGGCTATATATTTTCTTTCCTATCCCCTTCGGATCATCCCCTTTGTTTTTCCATTTATCTCTCAATTTTAACTGATGTTCGCTTTTCTATTTATTGAAACTGTAATTGATTGGGGAAGAAGAAAAGAAGGTGTAATTAAAATACAGAACGATAAATTTGTTTTTCTCTTTTTTTCTTGGCGGTCGTTAGAACCGTTCGTTTACAATTTTCATTCTTCAAGTAACAAGATCATCAATGATCTACGTCGTTCATAAATCATTGCATCAATTGCACTCCACCCTGCTTTTCGTGAGGGAATTTCGATTATTCTAATTGATGACCGATCGATGTCCTCCTGTTACCGATTACTTTATCGCGCTTTTCTTTATTCTCAATCGTAGATTTTCGTAGCGCTAAATCATCAAGCATGATCTAAAACCGATTTCCGATCCGTCTTATTCCTTTTACATCCTTTAAGGCTTAATTTAACCCTTAACCCTTTCACTGTTGTATTCTTCTTGTGATACCCGTAAATCTATCACTGAAACTCGATAAATAATTTATTTATTATTTATTTTACGATTTCAGGAAAAATTTTGATGTTTCCATCGGTAATCACTTGTATAAAATTCAGCAAAAGGGTTAAATAATATGGGTACAAAAAGGAGCTGTTTATTTTACGTCAACAACGTGGTTGTGTTTACAAAAATTCTGGAAAATTGTAACCACGTGGAGAGTGTTTCTCGACATGGTTGTCACGAAAAAAAAGAAAGGGTGAAAATTTAACAGAATGCAATGTTTTAAAATGTACGATTGATGTTGGAAGAATTCTTATTCTATTTTAAATATTAAAAATTCAAAAACGTTATACATAATAATAAACGTCTGACGTTGCTTTTTAGTTAGATGCTTGTTTATGTTTGTTAAACGGTTGTAACTTAAATTATTAGTTTTTAAAGCGTGTTAACATTGAAAAATGTGTACAAATTGAATGAAAACTGAAAGAGTTCAAAGAGCTAGAATTCCTGACTAACTCAAGAATCAACCCTCTGTAACCCAAACGTTTAGCCACTGTTTTTTAGTTTATTGCATCGTTAAGCATGGATATAAAACAACGTTATAAACAAAATCTTCGCATAATGTAAGATATTAAAACTTAAAACATCGTTTCGCTTCTACATACTTTTATTAAATACTTATTTGTACTAGGACTTTAAAGTCACAATTATATACAAAATAATAATAAATAAACCAAACCTTACAAATAATACAAACATATCATAAAACGTCGCTTAAATCGAATGGGTTACTGAGGTGTGCTTCAATGAATTATTGCTTTTTCTAGCAAATATTAAATTAAAATTAAAGATAATTAAAATAAAATTATACTTTAATTTATAAATACAGTATTAAAATTCTTAATTTCCTTCTTATTCGCAAACTTTATAACGTTACTGCTTTTTTTCTGATCCTTAAAAAGAAACGATTATAAATGAAAAGTACTACACTGTACAAAATCAAATTAAACCTATGTATCGATTTATTTCACGAATTTCACTTCTCAATACAATCCGATAAGTTACAAAATCTAGATCGTTCAATTGAAAGTAACGTTAATAATTAAAAATCCTCTGTACAAATTAATCTAAAATTAACGCCTTTTTTTCTATTCACTATATTCTATGGCCAACATACAACATCTTGTTAAAAATTAATTCTGTTCAATCTCGAACAACCGTGCCCGAAAACTCTCCACGTGGTACCACATCATCGAACTTATCGATCCTCGATCAGGAAAAGCCTGTCGAGAAGGTTCGTCGTAAAAAAGTCACTGTTCCGTTTAAAATCGATACAATTAGTTCCAAAAAGAAAACGCGTATCGTTAGGAATATCGTTAGCATTATTATTATTAATATTATTGGTTCAGTTTTGATTGGACCGCGCGTACGGCAGACATTTATTAGGTTGTTGCATATCAAATGTTCTCACATGATTTCATGACATAAAATCACCACAAAATAATACGTATGATATAACAATTTTAAATTTAATGTTTAAAGAAAATAATTGCATAAGTGTTTTATTGATATTCTAAATACAAAATGGTTAATCGTCCATCGCAAGAAACAATGGGTCAGAGTGAAATCTGTGTAACTATCTCTTTAGGAATTTCATATCCAATACAAGTTACAACTTTTATAAACAAAAGAATACAATATTTAATAAATATTTGGTGATTTTAGAAAATATGTAGAAATTTGTTAAAACACATTTTGTTTGAATGTCAATTTTAATAAAGTTATAATAATTAAATATCATTTCGTGTACAACAATCTAATAGAAATGCCGTTCACAAAATCGACATCAGTCTGTTCGCTTGAATCTTACGTTTTACTCGTTAAATCATGGTCGCCGGAGTCTCGCGCGTCCACGTGCGATCGTACGTTTCTAACAAAGAAGCTTCATCAGGAGAGGCACACCGGATACGCGTAGAAAAGTCTCCTTCTTGAGCTCGTCTAGCCCCTATCAAAACGTGGAAATAGAAAATATCGCGTCTTCATCCGTCTTCCCTTCGACGGTGTAAAAAAGAAAAAAATGAAAACGTGATAACTCGTCGAGACTCCTTTCGAACGCGACTGACAACAGTCCTCGATGGTCCACGGTGATCCCGTTCGTATCGAACAACGCAAAGAAGATACGAAATAGGAGTTAGGTTCAGTCGGGTCAACGAGACCCATCTGTTGTTGCTGAAATTCCATCGGCGATCACCAAAGTTTTAAATGGCAGTTACTCGTTTCTTTCGGAGTCCCAATTCGATCGAGGGCTCTCGATGTAGAGAATGATACGACAGAACGTGAGACTTTCATGGTTTTATTCAAACGGGATTAAGTGTGATATGATGGAGAAAATATTTCGTTTGTGGTAAAGTTTCCGACCTTGAAGCTTCAACTTACAAGTAAATCGAGTCGCGATTAAATGACGACGTTAGCCCTTGAACAGCGGAGCCAAACTTAGAAAACATATTCAAAAATATTAATTTAAAATTAAACGTATAATTTTTAAAGGAGATAGTTTCATATATTGAAAGAATAATTGTTAAAAGAACAGAGTGTAAAATTTAGAAATTGAAGAAAGTATGCAAGAGAAAATTAAATTAAAATTCGGGTCTCTCTCCATGGTCCGCCGTCCGAGGGTTGAACGAACGTCTCTAAAAGAATGAAACACGCGTTCAGCGTGCCATTAACGCGATTACAAAATTGAAAAGGATAACGTGAAAATGAATTCGAACGTTAATTAAAAAGAAACTCTCGTGCAATTAAGGGAAATTAATTGCAGGTTCACGATGAATTTGTTCGATCGTGTTGCTTGCTCGAGTTCAGAGTCGTGTCTAAATTTCATTGCTCGGAATCGAAGCAACGAACGAAAAAGAAATGACGAAAAATAGCGTGTGAGAGATCTCGTTGGTCGAGGAAACAGTGTACACCAGCCTCGACGACGAACGAAGAGCGAATAGAGCCGCGCGTGTGGCGTTCAATCGAGGTCCATCGAATAGATAACGGTGTTATCGTTTCCACGTCGCAGAGGATACTTCAATATTCGCACGATATCATATAAACATACAGCATCAAAAGTCGATACATTGATATAAACGCTCGTACGTGTTTTCATTTATATACATACACACCTATGCATGAGGCTTGAAAAGAAAAGAAAGAAGAAAAGGAAAGAAGAAAAAAAAATGAACAAACGCAATGGTACGTGTGTCTCTGTATGTCTTCTGAACAAACGCCTCCTCTCTATCGCTTTCTCTCGCTCCTCATCCTGCGTGTCTGTAAAAAGCACCTTCTTCGTTACAAAATCTTCGCGTCAACTATCTACTGCAATCTCATTCTCTCATCCATTCGTATCCAGTTACAATTCTTCCATCGGAACAACGTGAAAATATACTTTCCACTTCGTCTTTACGGATGCATACCAGCGAACAACAGCCTAGTTAAACTCTGAATACAACTTGCGCACAGAAATGCGATTACGATTCGTGAGTTATAGGTTTCCCCAAAAGAACAGAACCGCGATCATGGTGTCCCGTTGATTATTTTTCTCATTGAAGAGAAATAATTGTTCGCAGGAAAGATTGTTCCTGATCACGAGACATCCTGTATAGTGGCTTAAGACTTCTATATCACATCCTCAATATGTGCGGCAGTATTTTCTCTTACGATCTAAGCAGATCGGCGATCGACCGTTTAGGCGGTGAGAACGATGTTTGACATCCAACTCGAGAACCCGCGCGCATCGTTTCGCCGTTATATCGTTATTAAAAAAAAAAAATTCCCTATTCAATTCAGATACTCGAGGCTCTGACTCGACGATCGTTTTCAATTGGCAGTATCGAACAGACTCTCTCTCGTCCTTGAGACCTTAAATGTACATAGATTATCCTAGAACGGTTGTTAGCCGCTTAAATTCCTGGGCAAACATAAACAACGATTTTCCCAGCCAAACCGATTCCCATGCAAACGTTTTCACGACGTAGAAAAAGCGGAACTTCTTCGTTAAGGATAATCGTCGATCCGATTTATTTCCCCCCTCCCCCCACCTTTTCAAGTCCTCCGTTGAACGGGAAGCGTGCAACGACGCGGAGAACGATTAACGTGTGTGTGGACTCTCGATATACTTAGGACCTCGAAAGGGTGACCGAATCACAGAAAAAATTCATCTCGCTCCTTTCGTTACTGTTTCCACCAGCTGCACAGACAGCAATACCATCGCCTTTCGGGATGGGGCTGAAGTAACTGCTATTGTCAGTGCATCGCCCTGGTCGTGGTCAGATGCGTGGTCTCCGCCCTTTTCGGAGGCGGTGGTGGTGGTCTTCTCTTGCTGGCGATCGCGTTCACGATGTTGATGCTGCGATTCTCGTCGGCGAACCTGACGGTCGCTTGCCTGGCCGGACTGGACGCGTACTCCACAGGTGCGTGTGGATCGGTTGCATAGACATTCTCGTATAAGTTATCAGCTCCGTAGTGTTCCTGGACCCAGTTCGAAACGTTGGTCTCTCTGTAATCAGCCACTGCAGGCGGTGGATCACGGAATCCGAGGACCTCGTGCGGGGTAGTGGTGGAATCTAGCTTACACTTCTGAGCTACCTGCCATTTTTTCCTCATCACTCTTTGGAGATCCTTCAGGAAGTCACCGGGAGGCGCTTGGTCGGATGCGGCGAGCTTCTTGGGAGACGTGAGCCTCGTGCTGTCCGATCTTCTCGGTGGCATGGGCTTCCTCTGGGGCAGAGCTGGACTTCCCGGTTCCTGCTGAGGTGGAAGATTGAACGTGATCTTCTTACCGGTGCCCGTCTTCGATTTCGGCGAGGTGGGTGGTTCCTGGATGGTCACCCTACGCTGGGGCTGAGGGCTGGAAGCGGCTTTCAGCTCAGCTAGATAAGGCGGAGCCGCGTAGTGTCCCGAGCCTTGCTTCATGGCACTTCGTCGCACGGTGTCCATATTCGGGTTTGGCCTGATGGGTTGCACCGTCGAGTTGTGTTGGTGAACGCCTGGGTGGGTTCCGTACAGCGACTCCACCTTGGAGTTTTGTCTGCTGAGGCTGGAACTGTTGTGCTGTTGCGTGCCGTATGCTGGCGGAGGAACGAATGGCGGAGGCGAAGTGAAGTTTGGCGAGCTCGGAGCGTAGGTCGGTGTGCTCGCGTTTGATCCTGGATAGGAACTGTGCGGGGAGGCCATTGAATTTGCAGTGTTGTTTATGTGAAGAACGTTCTGGGAGTTCGTGTTATAGTTCTGGCTGTTCGAGTTGTTCTGCAAGTTGTTCGTAGTCGAGTAGATCTGCTGATTGTTCGTAGATCTTGATGGAGCATGCGTTGGAGTGCCCTCGGGAGTGATGGAGTTCGTTGGGGTGGACTGTTTCGGTCGTGCACGCCGAATGGTTCCTGTTTCGCCCACCAAAGGACTCGGAGGTGGCGGAAGGGACGCCAGACTCAACGAAGAACCGGTGAGTTCTGGAGTATTGCACATTGGAAGCTCACCGGGAGCTGGAGGAGGTGGCAATGAATCCAGAGAGAGATTCGATCGGAACATTTCCGGCGGAGGTGGAGGAAGCGGTTCGTTGTCCGATTCTGTTTCCTCGGCTACTCTCGACGGCGATGGCGGTGGCGGTAAGGAAGTAATCGAATCCATCTGTAGAAATAAAGTGAATAAAGACGTTAAAAGATATTCTTTACAAAATTTCAAAACGAGTTTAAAATAAAAAATTCATCTTAACAAATTCGTAATTTAAAATGAACTTACCATACAAGTTGGTATCGGGCTGGTAGGCGTCTTCGATTCCTGACTCTCCGACCTACTATATCCCATAGGACTCGCTCGCTCTCTAACTGGTGTACCAGGAGGTACAGGACTGACCGGAGTCGCGTTTCCGGATCGATGGTGTCTCTTCAACGTTCCAGACCCATCCGAGTCGGTACCACTTCTTCTTCGACTATGCCTTCTGGTTAATGTTCCAGAACCGGAACTCGTTGGACTTGGACAGGAATCCGGCTCGTCACGAACTGTCTCTCCAACTTCCTTCAACTGTCTCGTTATAGATGTGAGGGGTAGTTTTGGATTCATCGAAGGTTTCCTTTTGATAGTTCCCGTTGGAAATTCGCCACATTCGAAAGCTACCTGTGACACAAAATTAAACATCATATGAAATAAAAGTTTCTAAAATAAATAAATAAATTTCTTAAGAAGTGATATATCAAAGGCTGTCAAAGTATTTGTACGTACTACCGGGTACAGTGATAATGTTCTACTCTAGTTCCCTCATGATCAAAGGATGAAATAACGAATTGATCGAATTACCTCGCAACTGCTAGGCGCTCCATCAGACAGACATCCGCTGGAGCTGGAGCTGCTAGCTCTGCTCAGTCTCCCATCATTGTTATAACTCTGTCGTTGTTCAGAATTGTAAATTTGCCTCTGGCCATCGTATTGTCTGGTAATAGCCACCTCCACGTTGTGCCTGAAGTTTTCCGTGAATTGACGAGCATTATCGTTGATGGTATTGTACTGTGTCTGATTCTGAGCTGGCACAGCGATCGAGCTAACGGAGCATGATCTGGCATGGGCCAATATATCGAGATCCTCTTGGGCGAGCTCGTCGACCAGGGTTCTATAGTTCTCCATCAATTGTCTTCCGTATTTGGCCACTCTTATCCCGACCATCCATCGTTCCAAGGACGCGTTATCCTCCGCGCAGAGGAACTTGATGTACTTGGTCGATTTAGGTTGCTGTAACCTGGGGTGCTTCACAGCGAAACAGAAATCTGTCGGGGCTTTGTATTTCTTCTTCCAGCCGATACCGTAATAAATTTGATTCACGTCGAATGTAGCCAGACAAACGAGATCACGAGCCGTGCGAGCTTTCTCCTTCGGCCAATAGTAGAGGCCGGATGCCCGCAGGATGAAGTGGTACCTTTTCCAGCCCTTCTTGCTGTCCGATTTTAGGTACAGCGGTCCCTCGACCTAGAAATTAATATTCAAGCGTAGAGTAAAGAATTTTTATTTCTTAAAGCTTTTTTAATCCTTGGATTAAATGCTAAATATCTGATTACGCATATTCCATAAAGGTAATCAATAAATTGACTGCTAATACAGAAAACAGAGGTAATCGATTACCTCTGGAACTCCAACGTTGCTGCTAGAAAAGAATTCCTCCAGAAGAATATTACGAGAATGATCATCGTATTCTCCACTGCTCCTGTCTGACGGACCTAAAAGGAATCTCTCTGGAGTGAGGAACAATTGAGTTTTTTCTGGCCTCTCCACAAACAGCAGCTTGTTCTTCGAGTCTCTCGTCCATAGTAGAAGATTTTCCACTAGCAGCTCATGGTCTTCGTATACCCTTTCTGAAAATTAAAATGAATACTTTCAATCAAATAACGACTTTTTCTCAAAGGACGACGAGCAACATTTGGAGGAAGATGTTTACCCATGAAAAGATCGGGAAGATGCTCGACCACCGCCCATTTTGGATCCATTGGCACGTGATTTTTGTCGGCGAGTAACCTGCATACATGAGCCACGCTCATTCCTTCGTCCACGAGCAAACTTTTCCCGCTGCCGTCCAAAGTGAACGCTTTGATGAAGAGTTTCTGAACGCTGGCCTCGCGTATCTTCTCCAACGCCAAGCGGATCTTTTCCGCCTTGACTCTGCTAGCAGCGTCTTCGCGAGTAAGGAAGATGAACGATCGTTAAAATATCTTCTCTTTAACTTAAGCGTCGAGGTATTCTATTCAATTTCGAAGAACTTCGACTAACGATAATCCTTTGTCGAGGAATTTTCTATGAAAACTTTCTATACCTTTTATACTTATTTTCTTCATTTTCTTCATTTCTCATAAAGTTATATGAAAATTATGATTGAAATTTGAAACTTTCAAAGTTTTGGTATATCTTAATTATTAATGGTTTAAATGAAATGAAAACTCACCCATAAGCTGATGGGACTGCTGTTGTGGGGCTGTGTGCATGGCGGTCTGAGGAGGTTTGTGACCGGAACCGCTGCTACTCGCGGAACTCTCGCTGGACAACATCGACACCGTGTCCGAGAACGCACTGTCATTGTCAGGACTATCGGTCCGCATAGCTGGAACAAATGTTTGACAATTGTTAAACGGAGTTATAAATGCAAAGCAAACAGACTGTGCAAGTTGAGGATAACTGTTTCACCTGACCACATTTCATGGTTACTTTAGACTCAATACCGATAATAATATTGAATTTTAAAAATGATAAAAATTCAGTAAAAAATTTATTATGGGCTCAAGGTTCTATTGATTAAAACAAATAATCGATTTTGAAATAGAAAATGTAACACAATTTCATGATAGAAAAGTGTAACAAAATATCACTTATTACATATCAATTTAAAGCTTAAAATTTCATAAAACTTTCTATATAAATGGGTTATCAATATTCTTAATACAAAAGGAGTGGCTCCTCATTGAAACAAACAGAGTTAATATCATTGAATGTTTGTATTAAGATTATCGATAAACCATTTATATAGAAAGTTTCATGAAATTTTAAGCTTTAAATTGATATAAAGTACTATTTTGTTACACTTTTCTGTCATGAAATTTAATTAGACTTAACACTAGAACTACCAAACCAGTCAAAATGACTGGTCTCAAGTTTAAATTATAAATTTTATCGAGGTATTTTAGTTGAAATGTACGTTGGCTATTGTCAAAATAAAGAATTATGTTTCTATATTATTTTCAACTTAAAAATAAGCGTGCATCAAACGTCGGTAGTTCTAGTGTTAACATTAGTAAATTGACTTAACATTATCATCTGGCAGAAAAGTTCAAACAAATTACCTCCTTCGTTTTTACCGATGTCGGTATTGTCAGCAGCGGTGATCCTTGTGCTGTTTGGTCGTCCCTGTCTCTGCGAATCGGGCGCAGGTGTGGCCGCGATGTCACCGTCGCATCGGCGCTCCAATGCGCACAATTCGCCGAGGATCGCGTCGAGATCGACATCCTGAGAATCTGCAAGAACGGCGAAAACAAAGGAAGGCAATTAGTAGTGGCAGGAGGAAAATAAATTGAACGACGTGACAGAAGGGGAGAGAAAAAGTTGCTGATGTAGAGTGAGTAAAAGTGAAAGAAACACGTGGGCATGTGTCCAGCTTTTGGATGGGGACGGCCCAGGAAAGACGATTACGATCGACGAAAGCAACTAATGGCCGACACGAGTTATGAACGATCCAACGACGAAACCAATTCCACGCTAATTACCCGTACGATTGTACGAGCATCTGGTAACCGCATGACAAACTATCGACTTGTTCCTCGAACGTGAATCGAGGACTCGGGCTGGTGTACCTGACCTCGTGCAACTAAAGCGAAAGTCCTTCGGTGACGAAGAAACGAATAACTTTTATTGAATCATCGTGAACGATTGTTGGATATAACGTTTGCTCTTTAAATGGTTGATAATTTCATCGTGAGATTTATTTGAAAATTTTTAATTGTTTAAGCTTAAATTTTTACCATTTTAAAAGGGAATTCATAAAATAAAGATGAGACGTTGATTGATCTGATGAACATCAATAATTAGTTTAATTTAATCAAATAATTAAGAAAAAAGAGGGTTTCAAATTTTTATAAATACTTTACTGATGTAAAGTACTATTAATGTTTTTAATTTATATTTAAACATTATTAAAACTATTGAACATTATGTAAAAACAATATTAAAAATATTAAACATTATGTAAAAACATTATTAAAAATATTAAATATTATGTAAAAATATTATTAATTACTTATGTTTCAAATTGAACAATAATTATTTTCGATTTTGATTCTTCATTAAAGCCTATAAGTGACTAAAGGTTTCGCAGAATCTCTCGTCGTTTAATGAATTAATATAAGAAACTTTCCATTATTGACATCCACCCCTTATTTTCCTTTATTTTCCCCGGAAACCTGTGTTGCGACAATATTCCAGGAAACGTTGCGCATAAAATTGAAGCTGTAACTTCTGAACACGCTCCTCTGTACAACGTAATAATTATCGTAGATCGTTAGCCGCACGTGATAATATCGACTTCGTTAAGATAATTAACGAAATTAGCCCGTGCCTGGTAATTCTATAACCAAGCGAAAATTATTTACAGAATCATGTAGCAAAGATTCTGCAACTTTCACGATTCAATTAATTCCAATTTACTCTGAATAAAATTGAACAAATTTAAGTAGAGATGAGCAGGATTTAATTTTATTTTCAATTTATTACGAACAAGCTTTCATAATCGAAAATTTAATTAATTTAATTTAATTATCTTTGTTTATGGAAATAAAAATTTCATGTAGAAATACCCACGATTTAATTAATTTTCATTTTTCTACGAATAACCTTCCAAAATTACAGAATTCAATATTTTACAAAGAACTTAAGAATAAATTGATAGAAGCCGTCGAGACGAAAGACCGACTTCATGAACTTCTCACAATCAGATCTGCTTGTTTTTCTTTCACTCTCGATTACGCCGGCTTACTCCAGCTCCCGTCATGGTTATATTCGCGGGAAAAAGTTACATGCGTTCGTTGTTCCCCTTTCATAATGCGAATCGCAATGAGCGAACACCAGTTGAGAATGAAATTCTCGCGATTCGAGCGAAGGCGTGAGGCATTCCATCGCGAGTGCAACTAAGGGCACCAACGGTGTGGGCACTCTCAATTCGAGGTTCTTCCACTTTGATCAACCACGTGATATCCTAAGCAAGTTCTTGTAAAAAGAATGAATGTACACGAAGTTGATCAATTATTTGCGAATTAGTGTCAAGATCGCTTTTAATTTGGATAATTGGGTGTCATGAGAGCTAATCGAGCGAAGAAACACGTAAATAGGAAAGTAGGTCCCAATGGATTAAAGATTTCTTCTTATAAAAAATTATTGACCATAGTATTTTATAAAATTATGCTTCACTATCTTTAACGATCCCAGAGTGTAAATTCCAATTAAAAAATAAAAATATAAAATTGTGTCTATATTTTTTCCCAATCAATATTTCAAATATACACCCCAAAGAGGTTTATTGAAATTTTCCATTTTTATTTTTATTTCATATTTAAACAACGTTTCGCATTGATTGGATAAAGCGAAGAATATCATGCTGCATATCAATTTATCAATAAAAAGACTTATAATAAAAATTCAATTTAATTCCATTAAAAATGCCACTCAAATTTGTCACGTTTCAACTGCGAATTGTTTTATAAACATAACTCGATGTTACAAAACAGCATGACAATAAAGGTACACTAAAAGTATCCTGAAAAATGAAATACAGGAAATTGTCAAACATTTTTTGATACCCGATACACCATCTTTCAGTAAAGATACAAAAGGAACGTCCAACGTCCATTAACTCCAATATTCCCATAAAACATTCCATCGATCTCACCCATTAGCGTCTTTGATCTAAGAATATCAATTTCCTGGCAATATCCAGACCTTTAGTCCAAACAGAACAAAAGAGCTAGTCATTTGCTGAAGACCGAGAATATCAGGATTCAGAGGCGCCGTCAGAGGTTGACAGAATGAATGACGAAGTCATAGTGGAATGCGACCGTATCTTGCTCGGAATTGTCCAGCTAGGCGGTGACCGTGCGCGAATTCTCGTTGACGACCAAGAAGAAGACCCAAGAAACTTGGGTTAATCTTATCGATACCTCGTTCGCGACACGTGTCGAATTTCCAGCTGACACTCGACTTTCCACTGGAAGAGGATACCGCAAATCGCATAACACTCCGCGATGCACGAATTCGCGAGTTTATACGAACTGCATAAGAATAGTATAAAACAGCAATCATTTTTTTTTCATTTTTGGCTATGGTATTACAGAAAATGGGTTATTGTTTAGAAATTACCTTTGATGGTAATTAGAAGTATGCAAGAATTTGAAAATTTCGGGTATCTGGTACTCGAGCCGGGTCGGGTTTTCTTGTGTATTTATAGGACTCGATTCGACCCAAGTCGACCCGAATAATTTCTACCCGACCCGATTCGACTCGGTCCGAACGATTCCTATCTGACCTGACCCGATTCGACTCGACCGAAACAATTCCTACCCGACTCGACCCGACACTTTTGGATTCTCGCACTCTACAAATAATAATATCTACGTGACAGTTAAATTTCTATAAGAATAGTAATTTGTTCAAAAATAAATTCTAATCGAAAACTACTGCTTTCTACGTGTACAGTCGTTGACCAACGATAACAATGGGAGCGGAAGTTCCGTAAAATGTATTTATGCCAGGCGGGGAAACTTGGAAAGTGGTTTGCATGGTGCTTCTTATGTTATCCACGATAATATATACCAGACCAGGTATCTTGCTTGGTAAGTAAATTTTAATTGTTTTTGCATCAATAACGTTGTGTTACAGTTTCATCTTTGTAAGTTTACTGAAATTACACAGACAATTTTTAATACCAATGTAATGAAATCAAGGTGGGAAGTGATGGAAACTTTTGCAGGAATGCGAGATCATACTGATTATCATATTACCATTTTAGATTCTAGCTAACCATAGGAAATTTTAGTTGAATGTATATTATGTTACAGAACAAAGTCAGCATTATTTTTCAGATATCATATAACCCTTTAACAGAGGCAAATAATATTTTTTAATGAAATGTCTTCACAGAATTTGAAAATTTTTTTAGAAAATAGAAAAAGGTTTACAATTTTTCTAACAGTCTTTGAATTTTAAAGATCTCTAATAGTATTGTTTGCTATTAAAAAAGTAAATTGTTCCTGCTAACGAATAATTTTATAAAATTAATGATGTTTGATAAAAACACCTTTAATCTTCATATTTTCACGCAATTTCTTTCCGCCTCAGAAACAATAAACATAACTCTTCATTTTCTGATAACGTGAAATATTTTTCACAGAAACTGCATGCACAGTAATACTGCAATGCCAAACAGCAAGTGCGTAAAAACAGAGAACTCGTTTTCCATCAAACCAAATATACTAGACGCGTTCAAACAAGTCAAGGAAAAAGGGAAATCAAGAAAAACGAAGTTAATTGAAAACGTAGTACGGAACGAGTTATTATCCAACGATGTTACTTCACGACACGAACGAAAACGAAACCGTAACGAGTACGCGATGTAAGTAACTTACTTTTCACGTTCGATCCGATGAAATAACACGAGGAACGGTTGTCTCGTAACTCGCGAATAACCCATGGATTACCGTTAGCCACCGTTTCACGGTGTCCAATAGAAGGATTTTACCAGAAACGTTCAATTTGTATGCCTAGAAGGATTCATGCCCGACACAGAAGCACGTGAGCCAGTGTATCGTTAATGCTTAACCACGTTCTCGCTCGTGGCTGGTCGATTCTTTTCGATACGACACGTTTCTGTGTTCGTTGTCGCACGAGGCACGAGGAAACTATCAAATTTTTAGGTAGTCCACGGAACGAACGTGTTGCTCATTGAATGTGTGAACGCATTCAGGTAACTTTAAAGTCTGTACACATATATTTGTCGTTGAATAAGAAACGACGATGGTGTTCAGCCGGCTGTGTTTTGTGATTAACCCTCGGACGACGGACCATGGAGAGAGGCACAATTTTAATTTAATTCTCTAAATTGTATACTATTCTTCCAAAATATATGAAACTCTTTCGTGTAAAAATTGTATATTTAATTATTTGTTTAAATTTTAATTATTAAATAAAACTAATGATTTTGAAATGATAACATATCTTATATTGTTGATATAGATTATAACAATAAATAGAGAATTTAAATTAATGTTTCTTTCTTACCTACATCTTTTTATCAGTTTTTGTTAGACTAATTTCATTGTAGTATGACACCCCACCCGATCACCCTCAGGTTACAGAAACACTAAATTCCCGTAACAATCTCTCCAATCTCGGCCAATTAAATTCAATTACTTCCTTCCCAGAGAACCATTAATTTGAAAAACAAAACTCCGATGGAACAGAAACTCGGTGC